TTTTGGGTGTTGTTTGCTTTTTTGGACAGACCTTTTTTTTTTTTTTTTTTTAATTTAAAACTTTTTCGGTAGAAAAGAGAATTGAATAGGAAAGAAAGATTTTAGAAAAAAAGTGCACCGAAAAGACTTTTAGTCAGGCAGGTCTAGGTAAAGAATTAGGGATTGGGGTGACGTGGGGAGCCAGAAAGAGTGACCAGAGGTGAGGCAGAGGAGGGAGAGAAAGCGCACAGTGAGCACCTGAGAAGGTCTTGAGATGTCCAGACCTTGGGGCCTACCCCTGGCGTGGTCAGAGCTTCCAGCCTGATCATCAGTGGTTCCCGTGGGGCTTTTATAAAGTACATTCTGAGTTCTTGGGCCACGGCACAGGAAGCTGGAGGGACGCCCTGGTTCAGAACCACGGCCCCTTCTCCACTGTCTACAGCTACTGCTCTTAGCCTTAGTGCAGCTGTTGCCGCTCATAGGGTGTCTGGGGAGCTGAGGCCCAGCAGGTGGCTCAAGACCATCGTGTACCACTGCTGTCTGGGAGGGGTGTCTGCTGTGAGAAGGAGCTTCTGTGGTCAAGGGAGGCTCAGGAATGCAACCAAAGGACCCAAGGGCTTTTCCGAAATTCCCTTACAGCATTAAGCATTGTGAATCCCCAAGATGGGACTTTCTGCATCTTGTGTGACCACAGAACCTCCTTCATTGCCTTTCTTCTAAGAGCGCCTGTCCTGTGGGACATTCTGGGAATCCTGGCATAGATTTATCCCTGTATCGGTGGTAGTCCCTTTAAATTCCATAGGCACACCTCCCCCCTCCCCCAAGACAAGTTAAACCGGGACAGGCACAGTCCTTTTGGGGTGAGGAATGGGAAGAGAGGCAGTGGCCCCAAGTCCTCGCAGGGCCTCTTTGGGGATGCCAGCTGTATCCCACAGCTGTCAGTCCTCCATTCCTGTCAGCCTTGGCCATCCCAGAGCCCTTGGGGGTCTCCCCTCAAGCCCCACACTCATGCTGGTTTTGGGGTTGGTCCGTAGGGAAGATGGTGAGTTGGAAGAAGGTGAACTGGAAGATGATGGGGCCGAGGAGACCCAGGACACCTCCGGAGGGCCTGAGAGGAGCCGGAAAGAGAAGGGGGAGAAGCACCATAGTGACTCGGATGAGGAGAAGTCTCATCGGAGACTGAAGCGGAAACGGAAGAAAGAGCGGGAGAAGGAGAAGAGGAGGTCGAAGAAGAGGAGAAAATCCAAGCACAAAGTAGGTCCAGAGAAGCTCCTCGGGCTACCACTGCCTGGCCGTGGGCCTGGCTGACATCTTGGAGCCCAGCCTGCTGGGTCAGCCCCAGAGGGCACTCTTAAATAACGATTATTTTCCCCTGTCGCAAATTAGATAAAGACCTTTGAAAGAATTGGTAGCTTATGCTCCAGTGCCACTAAATGCCCCTAGGTGAGATGTTTCATGTAGGGCACTGAGCCCTTCCAGCACATTCCAGCATTGTTTGTCCTGGGGCTGCCTGTGCCAGAGTGGCCTGCAGCTGAGTCGCTAAAACCACTTCCTCTGTCTTCGCAGCGCCATGCATCCTCCAGCGATGACTTCTCCGATTTCTCAGATGACTCGGATTTCAGCCCCAGTGAAAAGGGGCACCGCAAGTACCGAGAGTACAGCCCCCCGTATGTGCCGGTGAGTGTCCGCTGGCGGGGCACGCTGAGCAGAGAGCCAGGGCGCTGGCTGTGTGCTGGGTGTTCTCGCATGGCACTTTACGTGGGTTTTAATGGTACAAGGTGAGAAAATGTTTTTATCCCCGTTTTATAGGTGAGGAGGCACATTTAGAAAGTCTTTACAAGGTTGCCTAACTCTGAAGTGGAAGAGCTCAGATTTTTTTTTTTTTTTCAAAAAAGAATCACTTATTTATTTAATTCCATTTGTTATTATGTTTATTTTTATTTGGCCAGAGAGAAACAGAAAGGGAAATCAAGAAAGCAAGCCACCAGGTCCAGTACTTGAACCACAGTCAGCCATGTGGGAATCCCAGTGCCCTTAACTACCACGTCACCTGGCAGCCCTGAAAGAGCTGAGTTTTTCTTTATTTTATTTTTTTTAAGAATTATTTTATTTAACTTTATTTGTTATTATTTTCCAGTTTGATCAGACAGAGAGAGGGGGGGAGAGAGGAAAGGTGAGAAAGCAAGCCACCAGGTTCAGGACGAACTGTGGTTGGCCATGTGGGAGTTTAGTGCCTTTAACCACTACGCCACCTGGTGGCTCCAGGAGCTGAGATTTTTAACCCAGGCAGAGCTGATCGTGCTCTCGTGCCTTCTCTGTGTCTCCTCGAGGCCTTAGTAGGGCTCAGTGTGTCTTGGAGAAAGGTGCTGATGGGTCCACATCATCGCTGAGTGTGGTCCACTATTCAGGGGTGACCTTTTGTGGAAATCCAGCAAGAGAAGGAGGTGACTGAGCAAAGTAACTCGAGTATCACATAGTCAGGAATTAAATGCTTACACTATTTTATCCCTGACCTTAAGCATAATTTAAAGTATTTGATTATTTTGTATTGCATTATTATTTTGTATTAGTTTGTATTCCATTTTCTGCTCCCAGAAAAACCTATAAGAAAAATATAAACTTGGATTTTCAGGTTTCAGTAAAAAAAAAAAAAAAAAAAAATTTGCGTTGGTCACTCTTTAGAGCTGACCCAATATCCCATGACTCAGCACCATCCATCATAACAGACAGTTTATTGTCAGGTATTATATTCAAGGTGATTTACTGGCAGAGGCTCCCACCTGGAACCTGTGGGAGGCAGAGTGCAGGGAAAACCACATGCTTTGTGCGCTAAGGCTTGAGGCATTTTGAGATCTGCCACAGTACTGTCTGTGTGCATCTCTGTATCTGGACCTTCTGTTGTCTTGTTGTTCTATAATGAACATGGGTTTTTAAACTAATAGACTATTTTGGGGCCAGCAGGTGGGTGGTGGATAAAGACTAAGGGTGCTGGGTTCCCATGTGGCCAACTGAGATTCAAGGACTGGACCTCTGGCGGCTTACTTTCTCTCCCTCCCCCTCTCTCTCTCTCTCTATCCCTCTCTGGTCAAATAAAAATAAATAAATAAATAAAGTTAAATAAAATAATTCCTTTAAAAAATAAAAAAATAGTAGACTATTTTTAGAGCAGTTTTGGGTTTACAGAAAAATAGGAGCAAGTGGTGTGGTGTGCCCTGACTTAGCCCCAGTCTCCCCTGACTACCTGTCCTGTTAGTGTGGTTCATTTGTTACAACCGAGCAAATACCAATACATTGTTATTAGAGCACGGTCACGTACGTCAGGGTTCTGTAGTTCTTTGGGTTTTGTCACAGAAGCACACACACATGTTAAATATTCATTATTACAGTTTACAAAATAGTCTCATTGCCCTAAAAATCTCTCACCTCCTATTCATCCTTCCTATTCCTCCTTTCCCAGAATGTCATAGTTGGAAACATTTAAGTACGAAGCTCTTTCATACTGGCTTCTTTGACTTAGTAATGTATCTTTCTGGTTCCTCTGTGTCTTTTCAGTGCTTGATAGCTCATTTCTTCCCGTTTTCTGGAGGACATCTTGGTTGCTTACAGACAGGCATGCATGTACAAACACTTCACCCGGTACCACTTGACCCTAGCACATTTTGGAAACCATCACTTGAAACAGCTATCCAGTGTGGTTGCCAAGCAGGTCATTGATTGAATTCTAAGGCTGTGGGAGAGTTTGACCGAGGAGCGCCCTCTTCTCCACCAGGACCCTGCCCAAATGTGCTTGCCTGACATCCCTGGGGCATCTTTTCCTCGGTTTATTAGGGATCCTGGCATCTGTGTTTTCTTTCGAGCCATGGCCCTTTCTGAAGAGTAGAAATATCTGGGTCCCTTGCCACCCCACTTTCTCGGATGAGAACCAGTCCCTGGAGTGCCTGAGGTTTGGCAGCACGGCTGGGGGATGGTGGAGACACCCAGACAGATGTGTCAGTTCAGGGATGATTGGGGGGATCCTGGTCCAGACTCAGGGCCGTGGGGCTGGCTCACCTTCTCCCATCTGTCTCTGGGACCCAGTCCCACCAGCAGTACCCGCCATCGCACACCACACCCCTGCCCAAGAAGTCCTACTCCAAGATGGACAGCAAGGGCTACGGCATGTACGAGGACTACGAGAGCGAGCAGTACGGCGAGTACGAGGGGGATGAGGAGGAGGACATGGGCAAGGAGGACTATGACGACTTCACCAAAGAGCTGAACCAGTACCGGCGTGCCAAGGAGGGCAGCAGCCGGGGCCGAGGTGAGCCTGTGCCCCCTTGAGGCTAGAGTCCCACATTCTGGAGTAGACACAGGGTTGTGATGTGAACGAGAAAGGCTGGGGAGCTGCACACGCGTGGCACAGGGAGCTGGAGAAGCTACATGAGGGGTGGAAGGATGAGGATCCTCCGGGCTAGTTCGTTGGCTTGTATGTGGCAGAGAGAAGACCAGGGTGCTGAAGGTTCTAAAATTCACTTCTGGGCCTGCTCTGTAGTGCAGCAATGATGTGCTCCCCAGTAGAACCTGGATCGCACGTGAGGACCATGGTTCAAGTCCCTGGCCAGGCAGTCTGCAGCACCGGGCACACACGAGGGCACAGGGGATGACTGGAGCACAGGGATCTGGCGTGGCCAGACTGGTAGAGGGCACACGCACTCTCTCTCAGTCGCTCGCTCCCATGTGCGTGCGCCCATGCTCTGTCGCTAACAAAATATTTTCATTTACTTCTTGGTCAGCTGTGGGGAGACCCACTTCTCTTCTGGGCCAGAGTAGCTAATACCTGTCCCAGCCCTCAGCACCTCCCCATTCCAGTCCTCCCAGCCCCATTATCAGGCAGGGTGTGACACCACCCCACGTGACCGCCAACACCTCTGAACATTGAACCTGTGACCGTTGGGAGGGTGTTGGGGGAGGGTTGACTGCCTGAGACAAGTGGCAGCCTAGGCTGGCCTCTTAGAACCATCTCCTGCAGGAAGACATCCCAGCCTCAGTGGGGTTCTGGAATCTTCCAGCTCAGAGGTTCTTAGACTGTGACCCTTGCCTAAGGCCCAGCTTGGTTGTTTTTTCTACTAGTCTTAGACACCTCTCTGGGGCAGACCCTGTGCGTGGTGGAGATTCTAGACCAGTGCCATCTAGTGGAACAGACACAAGCCACCGTGTCATTTCACATGTTCTAGTATCTACATTTAGAAAGGAGGGGCCTGGCTACAGTGGTCCAAGCAGTCGGTGCTGCTGTGTGATGCTCGAGCCTCGTGGAGGCCTGGGCCCAGGTCCTGGGTCAGCTGAACACTGGGTGCACTTGTGTGGATTTTACCCTGGATGGGGGCATTTACAATATTGTCTCTTTGCCTCTTAATGTCTCTCCCTCTCTCTCTTCTTTCTGCCCCTTCCTACTCTAGCTCATGAAAGAAAGCAAAGATTTTTTATTTTTTTAATTGAAAGGAAACAGACTTAATTTTTTTTTAAAAATTTTCCCAGAGGATATGTGTACTCACCAGAGAGATGGGTGGTGGGGAGCAAGAAAGCACCTTTGAGAGGGCATCATCAGGCCACAGTCTCATCTCAGTTTCTCCTTCCCTTCAGGATTTTGGGCATGCATACACACACAACACCTGTGTCTTTCTACGCTGCTGAGTGTGGGGCTTGAACCACGTGGTCGGCTATGTGGAAGCCAACTGTCTTAACTGCTAGGTCATGGGCCAGTACTAAATTAATGTCTTTTTTTAGGGAGAGGGAAGAGATTTTTTGCCACAGGGTGTGTCCGTTTGTTGGAGAAACAGAGATAGAAAGCGAGAAAGCACCCCCGCAGGAAGGACGGCCATGTCACAATCCCTTCTCTCAGGATTTTAGGCACGCACGCACATGCGCCCTTCATGAGTTTTAAGCTACTAGGTCTGGAACTTGAACCGTGATTGAATACATGGGGATCCAGCCACGTAATCATTATACCATCTGCTGGTCCCGCTAAATTAAATTTTTAAAAGAATTATTTTATTGGGACCAGCAGTTAGCATAAGGGCTATGTCGCTGGACTCCCATGTAGTCGATTGACCGCAGTTCGCATCCCAGACCCAGTGGCTTAAAACTCATGCCGGGCATGTGTGCGTGCATGCCCAAGATCCTGAGAGGAGAACGGAGGAGAAGGGATTGCAGCGTGGCCATCCCCCGGGGGGTTATTTCACACTTTCTGTCTTTCTGTCTCTGTCTGGCGAGTACACACGCCCTATAGCAAAAAACTCTCAAAAAAAAATTATTCTTTTATTTATTGATTTATCTTAATTTTACCAGAGAGGGACAGAGTAAGAGAGAGAAAGAAAGCCACCAGGTTCAGGACTTAAACCATGGTTGGCCATGTGGGAGTCCAGCACCCTCAACCACCGTGCCACCTGCCAGCCCCACTGCTAAATTAATTTTTTTTATTATTTATTTAATTTTATTTATTCATTAATTTATTTTAATATGACCAGAGAGAGACAGAGAGGCAAAGTGAGAAAGCAAGCCGCCAGGTCCAGGATTTGAACCGTGGTCGGCCATTTGGAATTCCAGCACCCTTAACCACCATGCTACCTGCTGGCCCCTATTATTATTATTTTTGAATTTGACCAAGGAGCGAGAAAGTGAAAAAACAAGCTGTCAGGTTCAGGACATGAACCATGGTTGGCCACGTGAAAGTCCTGCACCTTACCACCCTGCCGCATGCTGGCATGTCTGTTTTACCTGGCTGACCCCCCCTAGCCCTGTGCTTAAGCACTGTGAATGGAAAGCTGTACCCCACATGGCAACCATGGTCTGAGTCCTGGCCCTGGTAGCTTGAAAAACAAGCTTGGATTGTGTTTATGCATGCCCAAATGGAGGAGGAAAGGATGACAGACAAGACCATGACCCATTGAGGGGTGCTTTCTCTCTCTCTCTCTCTCTCGTGAGTTCACACATCTTTCACAATTAAAAACATTAATACATTTCAACACTCATTATTTTCACGTGCCGTTAAAATAGACCAGGAAGGCAAGCCTCAGTGGCTTCAGGGAACACAATGCGATGTCTTCTTTCTTGCTGCTGGAGTCTGCTTCCTCATGAGGCTCACTGTCTGAATCGCCTTGCAGGTAGCCGAGGCCGCGGCAGGGGCTACAGGGGCAGAGGAAGTCGTGGAGGATCGCGAGGCCGAGGCATGGGCAGGGGCGGCCGAGGAAGGGGCAGAGGCTCTGTGGGAGGAGACCATCCAGAGGACGAAGAAGACTTCTACGAGGAGGAGATGGAAGTAAGGTTTTCTCTAGCAAGGGAGTGAGGGTGCACTGGACTCCCACGTGGCCAACTGCAGTTTGAGTCCCAGACCCAGTGGCTTGAGACTCAAGCCTGGTGTGCGTGTGCTTGTCTAAACTCCCAGGAGGAGGATGGAGAAGAAGGGATGTGGTAATGGCCATCCCTCCGAGGGCGATTTCTCACTTTCCCTCTCACTGTCTCTCCTCTCAGGCAAGCACACACACCCTATGGCAAAAGCCTTAAAAAATTTATCTATCATTTTGGAATAGATAAAACTTGTATACGATTTAAAGTAGAAAAGATATTAAAGAGTAGCCTGTGGAAAAAAGTCCTCTCCCTAGAGACAAGTTTCCTGAAGGTCCTTTGGCGATGGCTCACTCCCATACAGTTGGGTAGCTGTTATTCACCCCTTCCTCGCCAGTGCGTGCTGAGCCACCTGCCCTTTCTGTCGGGCACAGCTGGCCATTACGCACAGAGGACAGAGATGTGTGCTGGACTTGCTCGGTGGGCGGGAGTTCTCAGGGTGAAGACTGCTTGGGACGAGATTGGGACCATCTGCTGTTCCAGCTGAGGCATATGAAGAAGGATCACAAGCCCGAGTCCCTGGGGTTGGTCACCTGTCCTTTGGAAAGCGGCAGAGGATATAGTTAGGGGCAGCATTCTTTTTCCCCTATGTGACATTTCCCCATCTCTCTTTTCTCCGGCATTCCAGTATGGAGAAAGTGAGGAGCCAATGGGAGACGACGATTATGATGAATACTCCAAGGAGCTGAGCCAGTACCGCAGGTCTAAGGATGGCCGAGGCCGAGGTGGGTAGGGCCTGGGTGATGGGCCTTGGCAGCTGCTGGATTTGGGTCAGGAAAGGGTCCGCAGGTTAACGCCATTTCTCCCCTCGACAGGGTTAAGTCGAGGCCGGGGCCGAGGTTCCAGAGGCCGAGGGAAAGGGATGGGCCGGGGTCGAGGCCGAGGTGGCAGCCGAGGAGGGATGAACAAGGGCGGCATGAACGATGATGAAGACTTCTATGACGAGGACATGGGCGTGAGTCGACTGGCTTCTGATCTGACGTTTGGGCCAGGGCCCGTTGGGTGTTTATGTCTGCAACAAGTTGGATACAACTGAGCCTTTCTCCCTGCTTCCACTGCCGCCCGTGGAGGGGACAAAACCCTAATTGTCTCTCCTGAGGGATGTGTGGTGAGGGCCTCTGTATCTAAAGCCAGGGCCGTAGCAGCACTCGCAGCCACCTGTAATGAGTCTCTGGACCTTCAGAAGGTTCTAGCTACCCATCCAATTAGCCCTGGAGGGTCTTACAGGAGGGCTCAGCTCCCTGCGAGTTGTGTTCCCCTTTGGGTGTACGGGACTTCAAGCTTCAGTTGCTACAGCTCCCACTTGCAGAATTTTTCCTATTTGAGGGTCAGCACTGCATGGTAGACTCTGACCTCACACGCAGCCTTAGCGTGGGCCGTAACCTGCCAGTGCATACTTTCGTAAATGTTCACCTTTCCTTCCCATTCCCTTTGGCATTCACACTCTGCGTTCCTAACAGGACGGTGGTGGTGGAAGCTACCGGAGGAGTGACCATGACAAACCCCACCAGCAATCTGACAAAAAAGGCAAAGTCATCTGCAAATACTTTGTGGAAGGGCGGTGCACGTGGGTAAGGAGCCACCAGCGCATCTGGGTGCTTGTCTTACAGCAGCAGCTCGCAGGGGACACACAACCTCTGGGAACATTCCAGAGGCAGTGGTTGGGGGTGAGAGTGACCCGGTGATGGTCTTTACTCCTGGGAGCCCCTGGGACTGAGCGACGCCTGTAGGGAAGACCTGGAAGGCACAGTTCACTTCTCAGGGAGAGGAGGGCCCAGAGCAAGGCAGCACAGAAAGGTGTGTTCAGCTCTACGGTTTTTTTGACCAAAATTTTTACAAGTCCATTTGACCTCAGGTGTGTTCTATAAGGATTATTGCTAGTGCTAGAATTTGACATATCCTGGTAAAGTTACTGAACTTTAAGATTGGAGAGGTAATTGTCAAACCATTGAGATGGGAAAGGGAAGAATCAGCTAAGTGTTGGATTTAGCAGGGTCAGAAAATGGACCATTGGCTAAAGGATTCTGAAGGGAAAAATTGTAATCCTCAATTAGGTTAACTGGTGACTTTTTATTCAAATATAAGTGCAGCAGACAGATATTGGCCAGTGTACACTCAGGAAATACTACCCATGCATCTGTCTTGGGGAAAAGGTAGGTATTTTAGGTATTTCATTCATTCATTCATTCATTTATTTATTTTTAGTTTTCACAATAGGGTGAGTAAGCTTGCCAGAGGGAGAAATCACCCTTTGGGGGGACAGTCACACCACAATCCATTCTTTATTCTTTTTTAAAAAATATTTATTCATTTCATTCAATTTGTTGTTATTATTTTTTAATTTGGCTAGAGAGAAACAGAGAGAGAGAGAGAGAGAGAGAGAGAGAGAAAGGGAAAGTAAGAAAGCAAGCTGCCAGGTTCGGGACTCGAACCGCGGTCATCTATGTGGGAGTTCAGCACCTTTAACCACCACTCTACCTGCTGGCCCCTCACAATCCTTTCTCTATTCTCCTCTTGGGATTTTGAGTATGCATGCACATGCACCCTGTGTGACTTGAACTGTGTAGTTGGTCGTGTGAAATCCACCCGCCTTAACCTCCTCGCCCTCTGCTGGCCTGGTATTTTAGGCATTTCATACAAATACGTTGTGTCTGAGATCCTCAATATTGTCATAAGTTATATGTTGTAAACATTTTTAGGAGTAAGAGAAATACTGGGTTGTTGGAAAAGTCATGATATATTTTTGTATTCAAAAACAGAAAAATACATTGTGACTTTTCCAGTAACCCAATAGATACAACACAGTTTCTATCTCTTTCTTTTTTTTTTTTTTTTAAAGGTTTTTGCCATAGGGTGTGCATGCTCGCTGGAGGGACAGACTGTGAGAGGGAAAATGAGAAATCACCCCCCAAGGGGGTACAGCCATGATGCAGTCCTTTTTCCTCCATTCTTCTCTTGGGCACACATGCACATGTGCCCAGCATGATCTTTAAGCTGCCAGGTCTGGGACTTGAACCTTGGTCAGCAGTGTGGAATCCAGTGTCGTAACGATTGCGCCACCTGGTGGTCCTTCGTGAAGAGTGATGAGGAATGGAGAACACAAACTGTGCTTTCCTGCCTGGGTGGCATTTTGTTCAGATTGTGTTCAGCTGCAGATAAAGGAAAACTTCATTCCCCTGGCTTCAACACCTTGATGCTTGGCTCCCAGAACAGGGATCCTGGGATAGCAAGCAGTGGTGAGGTGGGCACAGGGCCAGTGGCACCCTGAGGGATGGAGGCTCCTTTGCACTCTCTATTCTGCCATCATTGTCTTCCTGGTTACACAACGCTTCTAGGCTTCATATCCAAGGGCTAGAAGGAAGAAAATGGCTACGTTCTCTCTGGGGACTTCTGTTCCGACTTTGCCCGTCACTGTCCAGATCTGCAAGGGAATCTGGAAAACAGCCTATTTTTAGCCATGTATCTTCTTCCCTCAACAAAATTGGGGTTTTGGAGTCCCAGCTTGCATGGTGGTTAAGGTGACTAGATCCCACATGACTGACCACTGTTCAAGTCCTGGACCCCGTGGCTTGGAGAAAACACTGGGCTAGCATGCCCAGAAGCCCTAGAAGAGAATAGAGGAAGCCGTCCGCCAAGGAGAGGGAGGGTGCTTTCTCACTTTCTGTCTTTATCTCTCTCTGGCAAGTACACATACCCTATATAAAAAAATGAAAAAACTAAGAGAAGAAAATTGGGGTTCATTTAGGAAGAAGAGCAGCATGGGACTGGATGCGGGTAGGTGACTTGTGCTGGTCAGACAGTGAGTAGATGAGTGGAGATGGCAGAAGAAGAGGGGAAGGAAAGGGAGAAAAGCAGTGAAGGGCAGAGAGGAGAGTTGAGGGGAACAGCGTTGGGAGAGAGGGCCCCAAGAGAAAGGGGCAGGTTCTGGGAGCTTGCAGTGCATGTGTCAGAGAAGCTTCAAAGCCGAGAGACAGCTCTGTGAGCATGCCTTCCCAGGTTCTGTCATTGGCCCTCTGTGCAGAGCAGTGACAGAGTCATACTTCCCTTTGCAGACAGGAGTAAGCAGCTCACAACCACTGTCACCTCACCTTGTCACTGCTTCTTTTTCAGGGTGACCACTGTAATTTTAGCCATGACATTGAGCTACCAAAGAAGCGAGAACTGTGCAAATTTTACATCACTGGATTTTGTGCCAGAGCCGAAAACTGTCCCTACATGCATGATATCCTTTGGCGCCCACCTCGGATCTGAATGCGGGCACAGAACTTTTCTCCTTAATAGTAGTAACAGCTGACCATCATGTTTGTTGTCTCTGTGCTGCAAGCTTTCTCTGTGACTCCATGTCGTGTAACTTTCACATCCACCTTTGGAGAAGTCTGCTCTTTTCATTTTACAGATGAATAGACCGAGGCATGCATGCCACGCGTCCTGTCTTCCTGAGATTTTCCCCAACTGGCTTTGTAACCTCGAGCAAGTCCTGTAACTTCCTCGTTTCTCTTGAAGATCTGAGGGGAAGGCCTAAGGTCAGCCTGAGGGGACAGGAAGCACTTTGGAGGAGGAGTCTCAAGAACCAGGCTCTTGGCTTGGGTCTGTTGCCAACCCGCCATGTACCTCTGAGCAAGTCACCTCACCTCTCTGGCTTCGGTTTTTTCATCCCCAAAATGAAGGAGGCTCCTGGGTGGGTTCTATGAGATGAAGCATTTGCCTTAACTTGCTGTGAACGTGATTTTCCCTGTAAGTTGTACCACACCACTGGGAACTGCATCAATGGCGATGACTGCATGTTCTCCCACGACCCTCTGACCGAAGAGACAAGAGAGCTCTTAGATAAGGTAATGTCTGGGGGGTGATGGCGTGCCTGTGGCTAACGTAACCAGGAGGTGCACCTGCCATTACTGTAGCACTGCAGCCCATGGGCCTGGTCTCTGCAGGAGCAGGAATCCTGCTGTGCTGACCTGGTGCTGGGCATTGTTAGGAGGAAATGGGGACTGCTCCTTTCTCTGTGGAGGTGGGGATGGGGTTCGAGGTGCTCCCACGTGGATGGAATGTGGCCAGAGCAGACTTCTGCTGGGGGGTGGTCTCAGAAGGGGAATGTTGTCCTGCTATGTCTGTAAACACATCTTGTGATCTTTTAGCTATCCTTTAGAGAGAGTCCTTGATACACAAAGATGCAAGGGCTATATTTTGGTATAAATGTCAACAGTTTTCTTGTAACTGTTAGGGACTCTTATGTAATAGAGAAAGTAGAAGGAAATCAGAGGGTCTTGGGGGCAGTGGGTGGCATGGTGGTTAACGGCACTGGACTCCCACCAGCTGCGGTTCAAGTCATAAACCTGGCGGCTTGCTTTCTCACTTTCCCTCTCTCTCTTTCTTTCACTGTACCCCTCTCTGGTCAAATTTAAATAAATAAACTTAAATAATTCTTTTTAAAAGGAAGGAAATCAGAGGGTCTCTGGAATGGGAGACTGACTTGGTGGAGGTGTCGGGACTGCCTTGTAGCCAGGTGACATTTGAAACTGAGTCCAGTGTTAGTTCTTCCTGAGGAAAGTCCAGAACTCCTGTCCTCAGGCTCCTAAGACATCCAGGCAGTGACCGGGTGGAGAACAGTGGTCCTTTCCATGGAGCTTTCCTGCCTCCCAAATTGCAGCAGGTTTAGGAGACTGGCTGTTTTATCAAATAGAAAAGATCAAGACCAGCTCCAGGAACTCACCCAGACCCCACTTTGCTGGTGCAGTTGGTAGTGTGCCTAGCTGGAGGCCACGTGCCAGTGGCAGGTCTGGGTGCCTGGCCTGGGTGACCTGAGACATGCCTAAAACACGAGTGCGCCAGATTCCAGACAAGCTGGATGAGATGGCGTGGAGGGTGCTCACCTCTCTCTGTTCATTTGTGTACGTGCTCACTAGCATTAATAAAAATGAATTTAAAAAAACCATTGGTCCTACATAACCGACTGTGGTTTGAGTCCTGGACCTGGTGACTTGCTTTCTCACTTTTCTTCTTGCTCTGTTTCTCACTCACTCTATCTCTCGCTGATAAAACTAAAATAAATAAATTTTTTGAAAAAGTTAAATTAAAAAAATAATACTAAAAAAACCCATAGCATTAATAAAAATGAATTTTAGGGACCAGCAGATGGCATAATGGTTACATTGCTGGACTCTCACATAGTCAACCCTGGTTCGAGTCCGGACCCAGTGGCTTTAAACTCATTCTGGTCCTTAGTGCTTATATGTACAAAATCCCAAGAGGAAAATGGAGAAGGGATTGTGGCGTGGCCATCCCTGCAGGCAATGATTTCTCGCTCTCTGTCTCTCTGGTGAATGCATGCACTCTACAGCAAAAAAAATTGCTCTTAAAAAAATAAAATAAATAAAAATGAATTTTAAAATATCCATCTGTTAGCAACTACCCTGTTGAATGGCAGCAGGCACCACTTGAAAGGATTCAGGTGACGCCCTGGCAGGCAAGTCAGAGAATGTCCTTTGGGAAAGTGCTCATCTCTGCTGATCCCTTTGGGGAGCCTATTGCCCTCAGGTTTGGTAATCAGTAAATGCCTAGAGGCAAGAGTTATTTCACTGTGTGCGTGGTCAGGAAAGAACAAGAAACTGCTACAGGCTCCCACTGAAGGGGCTGAGCATCGTCTGCTGTGGGCTGCCCCCTACTGGGAGGTCAGGGTCGGTGCGCTATACCAGTGCGGTTCTCAGTCTTGCCTTGGAGCCTCATGCTTCGTTTTAAATTTTCTAGTTGCAACGTTTAAAAAATTGTATACAAAAAAAGAGACGAGATTACCAGTTTATGTAATTTAACCCAAAGTATTTGTTGAGCAAGTAATCATAATTTTAAAATTTAGATGGGGAGAGGGTCCCAACTCCTAGGAGGCAGTGCTGATTCTCCTCTCAGCCCATCTCCGTTGGGGCTGGCCATGCTTCAAGCCCTAGTTCTGCTCAGCAAGCATGCAGTCCCTCCATCCAGATTCACGGCCGACTCCTTTGGCCTGTTTCTTTCTTCCATGCTCTCCTTTTAGTTAATTCATACACATATGTGAATATGTATCTTTTCCTTAATCCACTTGAGAACAGAGTAAGTGTGTCATGGTCTTTTACCCTTTAGTACTTCATTTACATGTAGATTTTTATTGTTTTGTTTTTTTGGGGTTTTTTTGGTGAGATTTTTGCTATAGGGTGCGTGCATTTGCTGAAGACACAGAGAGAAAAAGTGAGACAACCCCCCCAGCACCACCAGGAGGACTGGCCATGCCTCGGTCCCTTCTCCTCCATTCTCCTCTTGGGATTTGGGCACACGTGTACATGCGCCCGGCGTAAATCTCAAGCCACCAGGGTCAACCATGTGGGAATCTGGTGCCTTAACCAGTCCAGTACCCCACCTGCTGGCCTCACATGTGTATAGTTGGGTTTATTGAGATATATTTTATATCCAGTAAAGTTCTCTGTTTAGTGTATAGTTCTACACGTGTTTTTTGTTTGTTTTGGTTTTGTTTTTAGTTTTCTCTTCATGGTGGTGTCTATGCACACGAGAAAGAAACACTCATGACAGGATGTGGTCATGCCTCAGTCCCCTCCCCCCCAGCCCCCTGCTCTTCAGGATCTTGGGCACGCAAGCACACACCTGGCACATTCCCGGTTGGCCGGGCCAGAGGTCCACACTTGCAGTCAGCCATGTGGCTTCCAGCAGTGCGGACAGTACCCTACAAGGCCGGACTCAGTTCTGTGACAAACACAGAGTCGTGTCACCACCCTGCAGTCTAGATACAAGAAATTCTTTTTTTCTTTTTTTTTTTCTCCCACGTGGATGGAATGTGGCCAGAGCAGACTTCTGCTGGGGGGTGGTCTCAGAAGGGGAATGTTGTCCTGCTATGTCTGTAAACACATCTTGTGATCTTTTAGCTATCCTTTAGAGAGAGTCCTTGATACACAAAGATGCAAGGGCTATATTTTGGTATAAATGTCAACAGTTTTCTTGTAACTGTTAGGGACTCTTATGTAATAGAGAAAGTAGAAGGAAATCAGAGGGTCTTGGGGGCAGTGGGTGGCATGGTGGTTAACGGCACTGGACTCCCACCAGCTGCGGTTCAAGTCATAAACCTGGCGGCTTGCTTTCTCACTTTCCCTCTCTCTCTTTCTTTCACTGTACCCCTCTCTGGTCAAATTTAAATAAATAAACTTAAATAATTCTTTTTAAAAGGAAGGAAATCAGAGGGTCTCTGGAATGGGAGACTGACTTGGTGGAGGTGTCGGGACTGCCTTGTAGCCAGGTGACATTTGAAACTGAGTCCAGTGTTAGTTCTTCCTGAGGAAAGTCCAGAACTCCTGTCCTCAGGCTCCTAAGACATCCAGGCAGTGACCGGGTGGAGAACAGTGGTCCTTTCCATGGAGCTTTCCTGCCTCCCAAATTGCAGCAGGTTTAGGAGACTGGCTGTTTTATCAAATAGAAAAGATCAAGACCAGCTCCAGGAACTCACCCAGACCCCACTTTGCTGGTGCAGTTGGTAGTGTGCCTAGCTGGAGGCCACGTGCCAGTGGCAGGTCTGGGTGCCTGGCCTGGGTGACCTGAGACATGCCTAAAACACGAGTGCGCCAGATTCCAGACAAGCTGGATGAGATGGCGTGGAGGGTGCTCACCTCTCTCTGTTCATTTGTGTACGTGCTCACTAGCATTAATAAAAATGAATTTAAAAAAACCATTGGTCCTACATAACCGACTGTGGTTTGAGTCCTGGACCTGGTGACTTGCTTTCTCACTTTTCTTCTTGCTCTGTTTCTCACTCACTCTATCTCTCGCTGATAAAACTAAAATAAATAAATTTTTTGAAAAAGTTAAATTAAAAAAATAATACTAAAAAAACCCATAGCATTAATAAAAATGAATTTTAGGGACCAGCAGATGGCATAATGGTTACATTGCTGGACTCTCACATAGTCAACCCTGGTTCGAGTCCGGACCCAGTGGCTTTAAACTCATTCTGGTCCTTAGTGCTTATATGTACAAAATCCCAAGAGGAAAATGGAGAAGGGATTGTGGCGTGGCCATCCCTGCAGGCAATGATTTCTCGCTCTCTGTCTCTCTGGTGAATGCATGCACTCTACAGCAAAAAAAATTGCTCTTAAAAAAATAAAATAAATAAAAATGAATTTTAAAATATCCATCTGTTAGCAACTACCCTGTTGAATGGCAGCAGGCACCACTTGAAAGGATTCAGGTGACGCCCTGGCAGGCAAGTCAGAGAATGTCCTTTGGGAAAGTGCTCATCTCTGCTGATCCCTTTGGGGAGCCTATTGCCCTCAGGTTTGGTAATCAGTAAATGCCTAGAGGCAAGAGTTATTTCACTGTGTGCGTGGTCAGGAAAGAACAAGAAACTGCTACAGGCTCCCACTGAAGGGGCTGAGCATCGTCTGCTGTGGGCTGCCCCCTACTGGGAGGTCAGGGTCGGTGCGCTATACCAGTGCGGTTCTCAGTCTTGCCTTGGAGCCTCATGCTTCGTTTTAAATTTTCTAGTTGCAACGTTTAAAAAATTGTATACAAAAAAAGAGACGAGATTACCAGTTTATGTAATTTAACCCAAAGTATTTGTTGAGCAAGTAATCATAATTTTAAAATTTAGATGGGGAGAGGGTCCCAACTCCTAGGAGGCAGTGCTGATTCTCCTCTCAGCCCATCTCCGTTGGGGCTGGCCATGCTTCAAGCCCTAGTTCTGCTCAGCAAGCATGCAGTCCCTCCATCCAGATTCACGGCCGACTCCTTTGGCCTGTTTCTTTCTTCCATGCTCTCCTTTTAGTTAATTCATACACATATGTGAATATGTATCTTTTCCTTA